TGGCCCCACGACTTCTTCCGACCCTCTGCCTTGGCCTGCAGTCCAGATGGTAGACATCTGATGAGTCTGAGCTCTTGTTTAGGGGTTTAAGGTTCAGGGTTTAGGGGTTTAGGTGTTTAGGGGTTTGGGGTTTAGGGGTTTAGGGTTTAGGTGTTTAGGGGTTGAGGATTTAGGGGTTTAGGGTTTCGGGTTTCGGGTTTAGTATGGTTGATTACAGCATACGGCAGATAGCTTGCTGTAGTGTATTATATATAGATATACAGAGGGGCGACAATACCCCAAAACCGTTAAAGGTTGAGAATAGTCTCCATTGTAGTTCCCTTTTTGTTGGCTTAGCCAACTTGATTTTTAGGATCCTAAAAGAGATCCAAAAGGGTTGAGTTTATGCAACCGGTCATGCGGACTGTCACGAAGCGAGACAGGGTTGAGGCTCACTTGCAGAAACCCAGTGTAAGCATGCGGCAATAGGCGGCACCCTGCCAATGCCCTCCCCTGTCCTAAACCCTAATCCCTGCCCCCTGCAGGACAAGTGTTGCCAATGCCCCGCCGTAAACCCTAAACCTAAACCCTAAACCCTAAACCCGAAACCCTAGGCCGTGTGCAAGCGAAGCTCCGAACTTGATCACTGGCGCGAAGTGGCACGTCGACTTCAGCCCTGAGGCGTCTCCTGCAGAGCTTGCGCCGGCTTGCTCTCGCTTCGCTCTTCGAATAAAGCTGGCTCAGACACATGTATATATGAATATATAGTCGCGTATATATAGAAATATATCGTAACAAATGTGTGCGTATATATATATATAGGTATATATATATATATGTATATAGTACTATGTGTATGTGTATATAATTAATATATATACATATATATATATATATATGTATAGACTGGCCTCCGAAGACCTGCCCGAAGGCGAGCGAGGCCAGAGCCTTGAGTTTGTTTGGTGCTCTGCTTAAGGCGACGAGGAAAGCCCAGGTCGCTCACCAGGGCGCTGAGTCTCTGACGCCGTGGGCTCCACAATAGGAGCCGTAGGCCTGGAGACGGGACTCCAGTGTTTAGGGTTTATAGGGCTTCAGGGTTTTAGGGTTTAGGGCTTTAGGGTTCTACTTGGAGGTTCATGGGTAGTTATACGTGGGTATAAGGAGGGTAACTATAGTTATAACCCCTATTAGGGGACTTATAACCCCACTTATAACTACCCATGAACCTCCAAGTAGGGTTTAGGGTTGTAGGTTTTAGGGTTGTCGGGTTTTAGGGCTTCAGGGTTTTAGGGTTTAGGGTTTAGAGAAGCAGAGCTGGGAGGCTGCACCGAGCCTTGTGGAAATCCTCGCCGAGAGTGCGGTCTGCTTCCTGCAACCAGAGGAATCCCCGATCTAAGTCTCATCTGACCCTAACCCCCCAGGTGCCTACTATATGGGGGCTTCCGAAAGTAAGGGGTACCCTATTTGGGGGTCCTTATAATAGGGATCCTACTATTTAGGGTACTATATCAGGGTCCCCTATTTTCGGAAACCCCTATGTAGGGCCCTAGGGGCTCTAGTATCCTATATAGTAGGTACCTGGGGGGTTAGGGTGACACCGACGCGGATTTCTCTGAATCCCTCCTTATGCATGTCCCAGAGAACACCGGGTACAGCCATGGGCGAAATGAGCTGCTGTGGGCTCTCCATATCGCATTTCCTAAGAGCCACCAGCGTGACGATACTGCGACATGACAATGACAGCTGCGATCGACCCATTGCATGAGAAGTCTCTTGTAGGCCAGGCTGGGGCTAATGCCATCGCCCCCAGGAACTGCTTCCAGACCTCAGTGGCTGAACTTCGGTTTCTGATCCATGGCAATCCACTAACAAAGCTTCACAGAGTTAACCAAAACCAAGGAGCAAAAGCCGTTGTCCGGGATGCCAAAGTCCAGCAGAGCCATCATGCGATCCTCCACTTCGGCCGAGCCCACAACCTGAGCGGCGCCTCCCCTGTCAGACTTCCCCTCGACCCTAAACCCCAAACCCCAAAAAGCACCCTGCAGTACCAAGCGACTTCCATGGCCAGGATTTCGGGACATGCGGATGCAGCCATGAGTGTCATCTTGCCACCAGCCTCAGGAGGTCGCTATGAAAGATGATCCGTAAACCCTAAACCCTGCAGCTTCAGATGGTCCAACACCCAATGTAGGAGCCTTTATAATCGGAATAGGGTTTTAGGGGTTCTTTGTTGTAATTATGGTATAATGTACAAAGAAAGCCTATTCTACTTGTTAAGGCCTCTCTATCACCCAGAGACCACGTTTTGTCTTCACAACGCTGAGCGGCTGAGGAATTTCCGCCGCTGCCCTTCATGAGGCAGTACTTCTGCGCGGCACCATGGGTGGCGGCCAAAGAACCTAATTCCGTGTACACGCGCATCGCCATCCGGCTGAAGTGGTAGAGCTCTTGCTGGTTCCTCTTCGCGTAGTTGGTGTAACCTCGGTTGAATCCTTCCCTCCGAAATGCTTCGCCAATACACGGTGTTAAAAAAGAGTTTTACAATTCGCGAAGACCCTGAAAGCTGCAGAAACTTACCACGGGGCCCTTCCCAGCGACGAGCACGCAGGGCTCACAAGAGAAGGCTGTGAGTTCCGGAAGCTGCAAGGAGTTGAACCAGTCTCCGTTCACACATTTCAGGGTCTCATGAGCATAGCGATGGCCTGCACGGAAGGACTGAAAGCGCTCCTGCCAACATCCGACATTCAGCTCGGTGCCATGCACAAAGCTGGAGGGTAGGGGCCGCTTCCCGCGCCACACATGGGAGCTTGGCTCTCGGTAAGCCGGCCGAGAACAGGTCTCCACCCCCAGCCCACCCATGAGCAGCAGGGCATCGCATTGCTGGAACAAGTGCACATACCGGAAGGACTTTGACATGACCGTGGCGTCGTTCTTCGCAGGCACATCCTGGAGCAAGCTGGTCGAGACTACCCGCGTCAGGTTGATCCCCGTGAGAATGAGGGCCGATGACCGGATGTCCGCGCAACGGGCGAAGATCTTGATATAGGCACGTACTGCACAGGGGCATTCTGCATGCGTGTTCAGATGTGATAAGTATAGTACTTGGAATTGAATCAGATTCAGACGAGATTGGGTTAGACTAAGTTGGGCTGGTAATGGCTGGTAGAGCATGTGATCCTATTGGTTACGTGCAATAAGCGAGTAAAGACGTGCTTTAGACGGGCAGACTCATCAAAGATGACCTTCGACACCTGAACCTGCGAAACCAAAAGGTAGATACTCAGATACTCGTCGAATGACAGGGCTTCGAGGCGATAACCTAGGGGCCTCATTAATCAGAAGAGGGTTTCGGGGGCCCATTCTACTAAGTTATACTTTAGTTATGATAAGGAGCCCCCAAAACCCTATTCTAACAAAGGCCCCTACATTATGGGGGGGACATGTTAGCAGTAAAAGGAGAACTCCATAAACCCTAAACCCAGAACTCCTAGGGCAAAGCAATGTGGTGACCTGTGCTGAAGCCTCGGGGTCCCCCCAAAGGGCATACCGAAGGGGCCTTTAAGAATTAGAGTAGGGTTATGGGGGTTCCTTTAAAGGGTTCCTTAAAGCGGTTCTTTTAGAGCTACTATATTCAGGGGTTATAGGGTGCTGAATAATTACCTGGACATTCCTTTGAACAGAATATTTTGTACGAATAGGTCGTTGACTAATTTGCTTGTTCTTCTGGCTTGCCGCACTAAACGCACTGTTCGCCTGATTCATGGTTCAGCAGGCACAGGGAGGGTTATTCAGGGTGTCGACAACACACCTCGGCTAAACCAAACTGATCCTAGATCGTTAACTATAGCAACCCAGCTCGAAGGACTTACCCGATGTATTCGTCGTTCAACAGCAGGCTTAAATGTTGGGTCATGAAGCTTATATAGATGAATTCGGGGTAAACCTTGTCGTATAAATCTGCAGTAACACGGTAAGCCTTTGAAGCCTCATGGCATTATAACCGACGAAGCAAGTTCCCCCTAAGGTCAACATGAATTGGTACGGGTGCTTCCGAATACATATTAAACCTACATAGGACCTAACTGTCTACGACCTAAGATTAAAAGCTGTACTCGGCACTATCATCATCACAATCATCATCGTAAGCATACCATCCAACATCTGCGGTCTCGATGGTGGAGACGGCAGTGATGCCTGCCCGGGAAGGCAAGGACACAGAATGCTTTGCAGATTGTGCTTTTCAATGGCTAGCACACTGCAGAAAATTATTTGTTGTCTATGTGCATGTGGCTCCAGGCAGCCAGACAGATGATCGATTCGTGGGCCATATTGTATGCATGTGTGATATACAGTCGTACTAGCTACTGGGGCTTGCTGCTACAAACATGTCGACCGGCGAAACTGTGCTCGCCAAAGCATGGGAAGAACAAGCCGAGCTTAGACGTCGAGCGACAAGGTTGCAACTTGCTGCTGTTCTGCATTTAATCGATCAGTCAGTCGTCGGTGGCATGTGTGCACGTGCAAGCTGTAGCTATGCCAGGTTGAAGGTACCGGCGTAGCAGTCACACGTGAATCTTTGCGGGCTAACCGGAAACTGGTCACGATGGCCATCCAGCATCTGGGAAATCGAATCTCTGTGGATGTATGTGCTATGCACATACAATCTTGCTACGACCTGCAGTCGATACCGATCTCAGGACCATTCCCAGCGAGGGAGGGAGAGTGCGCGAGAGACTGAGGGCGAGCGAGAGAGAGAGAGAGAGGGAGAGTGCAGTCAGGGTGTGACGGTGTGTACAACGAGATAGCGAGAGAAAAGAGTGGCTAGAGTGCGAGACAGCGACAGTGTGAGAGAAAATAAGATCGAGAAAGAAGCGAGAGCGAGAGAGAGAGAGAGAGAGAGAGAGAGAGCGAGAGAGGAAGCCTGAAAAATCGAGATAAGAGAGTCTCGAGAACTGCATGCGTGTTTGTGTGGGCCACCCTGAAACACAAAGCTCGTGATTTAAACTATAGTTCATTAACCTTGACGCCAGGAGCCGCTTGCCATGCACAGGCATGGCAACTGCGAAGAATGATTTCGGTATTCAATTTGGTATGCCGTCGCCCTCACCTACCCCGCGAACGGTTCCTCCGTGATATGATGGATGACTTGAATATCCAAATCCAAGCCAAGCCTATCCACCCAGACCCAGAAGGGCCCTTGACGGAGGAGGAGGATGGTGCCTCTTCTGAAGAGAGCGCGGAAGAGGAAGATGCTACTGATGATGAAGCTGTTGATGTGAAGGTAGGGGTGGCTTTTGCAATCTTAAGGCCTAGCTCCTGCTAGTAAAACAGGCTGACGATTCTGACATGGTGTCCCCCGCCGTTCTGGAATCGGTGCTAGAGGCCCCAGCCCATTAGCAACGAAGAACCCTCAATTCTACGGCCCACAAGCCTGCCTGTTCAGGCTTCTCGCCTGGAGGCCGAACGAGGAGAACCTGTGGAGGCTCACCGCATAAAATATTAATATTGCTAGCTGTCACGTGGCTGGTGAAGCAATGCTGGTATGTCAAGGCTGCGGGGGGTTCTGCTGCGAAGTGCACTGATATGGTGTCAGCAGAGGCAGGCGCCAGTTCACGTTTTGGGCTAGTGAGGTGGTATGTGGAACTGTCCATGCATGCTTGTGCACAGGACACATCGTCTGGATTATCTGAGTGTGGTTCGACTTCCATCAACAAGGCATGGAGCCTGCCACCTCATCTGCATCTATGTTATTATTAATGTTGTGTTTTCGCAAAGGCTCCATCAGAGACTTTCCACACCCCGTCCCCGAGGCACCTAGGCCAGGCTGCTTCAAACTCTCCGCATTGTGTGTGTGTGTGTGTCTTTGACTCCCACTCAGTCTCTCTCAGCTAGGATCTCGATCATTGCTCTCGGAGGCCCCTGTGCTGCGACTCCGGAGAAGCAAGCGAACCTTGAGCCTCGATTGAACATCCGTTGTGACTGTAGGGATGACCGTTATGATCGCACGTACACTAAACTAAGGCTCGGGAACTTGCAAAGCTCCGAAAGCTGCAAGAGCTGCACAAGGCAATGCTAGAATTGGAAGCTTTGAAAAAACGAGCCCAACAGAAGCCTGGCCTGACCTTCACTCACGACAAATGCCACTCTCTTGCAATATGTTCGCTTGGCCGTGAACCTTCCCTAGAAACCCTAACCCTAAACCCTTACCTATAAAACTTACAAGCTACTGGAGCAGAGGCTTGGACAATGTGGAGACCCAGCCTTCGGGCATCGATGCGATGCCGTCGCCGACAGCACCTTCGAAGATGCAATACGTTGGTTCAGGTTTCGTCGTTGCTAAGCACAGCGTGCATGCATGTGTGTTTGAGGTTTGAACTTTTGCTTTCTGTCGAAAGGTTCAGCCGTTGAGGCAAAGACCCCCACCACTGCCACCACCACCACCACAGAGCCCTCTACAGGAATGAGAGAAGGGAGTTTGGAGGATTGCAGCAAGCCAACATCAGCAGCAGCAGCAGCAGTGGTGCCACCAGAAGCTGACAAGACGACTGTCGACAATCCTCAGCAACAAGCCGACGTTACTGCACCCGAAGCAGCTCCACAAGCGGAGAATCCCAAACGAGAAGCCCAGAATACTGCTACATCCGCATTGGCTCCACAAGCCGAGAATCCTAATCAAGAAGCCAAGGATACTGCTACATCCGCAGCAGCTCCACAAGTCGAGAATCCCCAGCAAGAAACCGAGAAGATTGCTGCGCCTGAAGCGGCTCCACAAGCCAAAAGCACTGCAGTGCCCAATGCGCAGCACGCACAACAGCAGCACCCAGACAGCAGTCCCAGCACGCAGACACCAACGACTGAGCCCGAAGTGCAAGCTCAGGCCATGGAACAAGAGGCCCCAGCTACGCATGCCACCAAGACTTCAAAGGAACCGTCCCATCTCAAGCTGCTCAAAGACGCACTGGCTGCATCCGCTGCTGAAAAGCGAGCAAAGAAGGCCGCACAAGCGGCTGAGACGGAAGTATCCAAGGCCAAGCCATCTGGGAATGGTGGGGGATCCGATGTTGTGGCCGAGACATCGGGTCGAGGACGTGGCCGTCCTCGGTCCGATAGGAAGGCTATGAATAATGCAGCAGAGTGTGGCAGCAAGGACCAGCCACCTAAGAGCCAAGTCGCGACGGCGACGACTCCAGGAACTGTGGAGGAAAAGCTGGAGCGACCGGCCAACTGGGGAGCAGCAGGCTTTGTGTCACCAGAACAGCAAGGTAACGCGCGGGAGGAAGATGGTGACAATGAAGACGCATGCCCAGGATCGTCAAAGATCTCATCTGCAAAAGCAAAAGCAACACCAAAGGGGAAGGCTAAAGCCAAAGCTAAAGCCAAGGCTAAAGCCAAGGCCAAGCCTGACGATTCCCCTCGCAAGGAGAGTGTGATAGTGCCCACACCATCAACAACAGCAGCAGCAGGACGGAAGCCGGGCCGCAAGGGCAATGCCGAGCCAGCGAATGAGGCAGCATCCACGCCAACAACAGCAAAAGCAGCAGCAGGAAAGCCGGGCCGCAAGCCCAATGCCGGGCCAGAGCCTGAGACAGCACCCACGCCAAGTACAGCAAAAGCAGCAGCAGCAAAGCCGGGCCGCAAGTGCAATGCCGAGCCAGAGCCGGAGACAGCACCCACACCAACCACAGCAAAAGCAGCAGCAGGAAAGCCGGGCCGCAAGCGCAAAGCCGAGCCAGAGCCTGCAAGCGACACGCCAAAGACGAAGACGAAGAAGCCAACATCAGATGTCCCAGCATGCAAGAAGCGGGGGAAGAAACAGGACAAGACCGAGGAAGCATCGCAGGCAAAGCCTCCAGCAGCCAAGCGCCCGCAACAGCTATCCGATGAAGCCAAACAGCGCAAGAGCCGAAAGTCCTGTGCATACCACAAGAAGTATCTGGAGCTGCTAGCACAGGACTACGACGATGAGGAAGCCAAGGAAGCAGCTAGGGAGGTTCGCTCTCATTGCTGGAGTGTGCTGCATCCCACTAACACACGTCGTTATATTATATAGATCCGATTCACACACTCGTGTTTGCAGGCCTACAGGATGCAAGAATGAGAAGATTCTGGCCATCACTCAAAGCAGCGAGCCCCTATGTCGGTTTTAGAGAGAGCTGGCTTGCCGTACTTTTTATGTTCTTTTCACACGGGATAACCTGTGTGCCGAATTATTTTGCAGTTCGCACCCTGTGCTAGAGCATCCAAAAGGGTGCCATCTAGTCGGGCATGTCAGCGGGTGAACCTGTTGGGATCTGGTGCAAAAGTGTGATGCATCATGACCTATATATGAACCGGTGATTCGCAACAAGCTCTTGCTCAATAAACTCCCTGAACTCAGCCATCAAGTTAACATCTTGCGCAGGTCTTCGGCATGCCTCGTGGATTCGAGAAATGGGCAGGCCGCAAGCTGTCTGCGGGTCCTGCTGACAAGCTTGAACTGGCATGCTTCTTCAGAAGACATGTGCTGCATGTTTTTCAGCTGGCTGTGAAACGAGTGCAGTGTTATGTTTGTGCACGCCGTGAAATCTTCAGTGTTCTCTGTAGCGGTTTTGGTCAAGGTCTCTGCTAAGATAAGCGGCTTGTAGCTGAGCTCCGCACACTGGGGCGGATGGCAAAGCTCCATGATTCGTTCGTGGTAAACCTGGCCCAGATGCGAGCCCCCAAGGCTGCTATCTCAGGGCAGTCGATCTGCACGTGTCGTACAAAGCGAAATCTTATGGAGTCGAGCCCGATTAAGGTGTTGATCGCATGTGTCAAGGCCTTACACATGAGCAGACCTGTCTGTACAGCTAGCTAGAGTAGTCCGTGGCTCAGGAGTTCTTTGCTGATTTTATGTGTTAAGGTTTTGCTCATTCTCTGGCAGCATGGTGACAAAATCATGCACAAGTACGACCTTGTCGAGATATTTTCAGGTCAGGGACAGGTCAGCGAGGCCTTCCGATCTGTGGGGCGCACGGCTGCGCAATTCGATAGTAGTCGGTCTGCCGATCAAAATATTTTGACGCGGGCTGGATTTGCGACTCTTGTCTAGTACAGATCTGCGAAGGCCTTCAAAGTCAGCACCTGAAATCCCAGCCAAAGCCGATCTGACTTTTCAGAGATGCCCTGAACCCTGAAATCCTGACACTACAAGCCCCCAAACCTCGACGTCCTGAACCCTGAAAGCCTAAAGCACTGCAAGGCTCGATCAATCCAAGACAGTCCCAACGTCTCTACCCAACCCGAAAGGATTCGTAGAATCTTGCAAAGCCGATAGGCCCCTACAGCCCACAAGGGTTCCCCACACGTTCCGAAACCCAACTGTGCTGAAGTGTCTCTGGGTAATTCAGCTTGCCCAGGATTGCTGTATTCTTGGTGATGAACACTGGGCCGGGATCGTTTACTTTGCTGGCACCGGACTGCAGCTCTTGGACGACTATTGCAAGAGGCACGTCTTTGCGCAATGCTGTTAATTGCTTTGGTCGACTAGATCTGGCATGGGTGGAATCAGCAAATATGATGATCAGCAAGAGGCTTGCCTGCGGTAGACCTACCATGCAGTTTAGGTTGAGGCTTTTCCGATGGAGTTCATAAGCTCAGGTGTGTTCTCATTCTTTATGTTGTGCAATCGCTGCACGGCATGTGGCTACTGGAACAACCAGCTGGCAGCGACCACATCATCACCCGCCACCCTAGACTGGAACAGTTTGTCAACGAAGTCGTGCATGCCCCTTTGCAATTACATATTGAATTTTCTTGCTATTTCTGCTAGGTCCAGAAATCCCCCCCGGCTGTCCACATCCCCCAACTCCGCAACCTCCTGGCAACGCACCAAACACGAAGCGCTCTCTGTTCCCCAAACCTTATAAGGTACAGCTAGATCGATATTGTATACCCATAGATAGCTCAAACCTTTAATAAGTATATATATATATA